AAAAAAAAAAAAAATGGTGAGTACTACATTGAGTTATTAACAAAAAGAAACAGAATGACAGGTGGATGAACTTTTATTATATAAATAGTTAAATAAAAGATTAATGTTGCTAAATTAACCGAAATGAAAGCATGAACAATATAACTAGAACAGATAAAACATACTGTGGGAACCGGCCTTCCACAATTGATGAGTGTAAATCCCTGCTAAGCTGCAAAAGTGATGCAAGTACAGGTAAAACCCACTTACCAGTAAAAGATTAAAAAGATTCATAAACAATTTTTTAAGCAGTGTTAAGATAAACATACCTTCATCATGTAAAATAAATTGTGATAAGATAAAAGTTGAGATCCCATTGCATCTTTGGTGACAAGGCAGTGAATGTATGCTCTCGAGTACTTTTTACAAACCTGTGCAACACTCTCCAAATTAACAATATCCAAAAATAGATGAAATTTTCGACAATTAAGGAAACAAGTGGTGATGTACCATGCATTCACACGTAGGGTCGACCGGTCGAGTATCATTAGCCATTGCTTGGTTTTTAAGTTTTAAAACTCCCTGTACAAGTATACAACACCCAGCAAACAAGAAGACATATCTATCATCGGACATTTAAGTAATATCTAAACAACGATTATTTTAAACTATTTAAGCATGACAACTTTGATTGGTAATGAAAAGAAACATTGTGTTTCTTTTATATTGTTTTTCTTTTTTTTTTATTTCTCTTTTTTTTTGTCTTTTATTTGTCGTTTAATTATTTCAAGAGGACTGGAAAATCGAGAAATAAAACCTCAGGCACAAGAGCAGTCCCAAAACGAGCTGTACGGGTAGGATAGACACAATCGTACATGTCAGCACCTAATGCACTGCAAACTACAATATCCAGAGGATAACCAATACCCTGTGAGTGTCAGCAATCAAAATACATAAAGCATCAGATAAAATAAAAATGGCAACACATACTGAAATGTACTGAAGATAAATATAGTATATCATAAAAGTGTTAATTTACCATAACATATCGAGGCTTATTCTCAGGCAATGCAGCTGTGCACTGGGCAACAACTCGCCAAAATGAATCTTTATCTTCACCTCCTGCAAGCCCACCAATTGCATAGCTGCCAAAAGAAAAGAAAAAATTGTTTTGGCTGTTTCAAGAAAAAAATGTTTTGGCTGTTTCCATATAAAGTTGTTATTTCAGTTAAATAGAGATAAAATACATAAGAAAATCACATTATCAATAAAAATACGAGATAAAACTGTTATGTGCTGAAAAGTGGCAATAAAAATCTCTGATTTTCACTTCAATATGGCAATGAGATTGATTAGCATGTAAGATTTGACTCCAAATTGTGAACAAACCGAGAAGTAAATGGTGAATTCGCTAGTTTTGAAGCAAAACATACAATGTACTCACCAGTGAGTAGACTGTTTCCTCAATTTTCTTTTATTTTAGTAACCTGAAACAATTTATATGGGAAAATTGCTTGAAAGAAAAAGTAAAATATAACAAAATTGAAGGGGAAAAATATTCAACCATATGATCTCATCACATTTGCAGTACATATAACATATTACATAGAAACAGTACAACAGAAACAGAAGGATTATATTTTATCTCACTTGGTTGGCTTATGTTAGGTCACAAAAGAAATATAGGAGTTTCAGGTCTGATTGTGTATTACTAGCCAATTCAACATGCAGAAACATGAAACAATTTCAGAAACTATTACTTGGCTTAATATAATTATTGCTAGGAACAAAGACGAACCCTGGTAAATCTCGTTCCACCAAACCCTTGACACATATATCCCTGTAAGCAATTAAATTGCACAGGAAACCAGATTAATTGGAACGCATAGAATATGCAGATCTCTTGAAGCAAAATAGAAGTAAAGACTCGGTTAATCTAACCTTAAGACTGGATCTAAACCACCTTGTACAATTCCAAATAAATTCTGATCATGGGGTCTCTTGTGTGCTGTTTACAGATGTCAACATCATAATAAGTTTTTACTGATGTATAATTTGCAAGGGAGCATCACCACACACGCACACATAATTACCAACTTTTCTTTAATTATTGTACAAATTTCATTTGAAGCAATTCCATCAATTAGCAGTTCACTGTTAGCAATGCCAGCAATCCAGTAAATATTTTAGAACTCAATAAATTGCCACGTAATATGAAGCAAGAAGCAACCAGTAACTAAATAAATATAACCTTTTCTTTAAAATAAAAAAATCCAAAGAAGATATTTTTTTTTTAACTTCTAGTTCTAGAGTAACTACATCTCAAGTTTCTATGTTTGAGTGTAACTAGGCTTATTTTACCTTTTATGCACCTATCTATCCAACGAAGCGTACGATACATTGCTTCTTCAATCCGTGGGCCAGTAATAGTAGTCTTAACGACGTCATCAAGTGCCATAATAATATCGGCTCCTATTCGGTTCTGAAACAGGAAATAGAAATCAAGTGAGCCAAACATATTTTAAACGCCACTAAAATAATGCAACTATTTGTGACCAAAATATTCACTAGTAGTGCATTTATAGTCAATCAACAGCAATAGAATTAATAAGGGTATAATATCATTGTCCAAATCTCATCAAAATATTGCCGAGATATGCTGAGTGCCTCTTATAATTGGTAATGAGCACATAGTCCTGTGAATATTCATAAGGGATAACCAAAAATTCTATTTTGCAATTCATGGTGTAATAGTTCGACAAGAACTTAAGAGTATTCTTCACATTATTATGTTTGCCTTAGTTTGTGCAGCACAATTGAAAATCATAATCAGTTTTTATGTGAATATATACAAAGGCATGACATACAAGAAATATTTTTCTTCATTTCATTCATTTTTTGCCCCTTTTGTGGAGTCAGAATACATCTAGGAGAAAAAATGTCAACGAAAACTAAAATAATTTATGAATTGAAATGTGTAGATCAATGTATTGTTTATTTGCTAGACTTTTTTAAGCTCAGATTTGTCATACTAGAAGTAACTGCATACGTATGATTCAGTGCAAGAATTTTACTTGTATTTGTATTGACTCTTCTGGAGTAAGTAGCATGGGCTTCCCATCGACCGGTGACTGAAAAAACAGTCATAAGAAGTAAACTTTTAATTATTTGTTGGAGCATTAAAACAGAATAGGTGCAATGAGTTTTAAAGGTTAAGAGGAAAAAAAAATACAAAAATACAATACAGAGACTCATTCATTCTCGCCCATTTTCTTGATATAAAGAAAAAGACTACAAATGATATGGTATTAATTAAATAAAAAAAAAAAAGAATGAAAGAAAGAAAGAAAAAGAAAAATAAAAGAAAATAAATTTCCTGGACATGAGTCCCACCATTTTGGCCGCGACATTTGCAATGGATCTATTATCATCATGATCTAATTAAATTTGTGAAATCTTTGACAGAATATAGTAAGAATTATCTATCGAACATTATAAGTAAGGACAAATGAGAAATATGGTTAAGCCGATATTCATGAGCGATTTCCAAAAGATGAGTAGGATATAGATATTTATACTGACGATTAAATTTTCGAATTTCTATAACCTCTGGCGTGATACCAGAACAGCCCTTAAGTTTGCAATGCAAAAGAATGGTCTTCAATTGATACCTTCAGGTTGATGCCTTATTTTCTTGCTCAAAATATATGAAAGATTCAGATTCATCATGTGCAGTTAGGAAGATTCAGATTCATCATGTGCATTTAGGGTTAACTGACCTCTTCAGAAAAATATAATTTGAACAATGTTTTTGCCTAAAGAAAGATGAAATCATCAACACACACACAAAGATAATAAATGAGAAAGTAACAAAAAACATTTCCCATTAGATGATCTATTCCAAAATGTACGCGCTGAATTGCTTATATGAGAAACATTACCTTAAAATAATACAAAATCCTACCAACACTATCCTATTATTTCAATTCAAGGCTACAAGTATATAAATGTGTACAACAAAGAGCTGAAAAGAGTACCTGAAATGTGACACCCTTCTCCGTAATATCGGCCAAATGCAATAATGAGACCTACCAGCATTTAAAAATCATTTTCGTGTCACATTCTATTCGTGCAATTGAAAGGAAAAAGACAAATGGCATGGCTAAAACGGTAAATTGCACTAGAATACTGTATAGGAACATAAAAGAAGCAAAACAAATTATTCAAGAAATATGACAATGAAGACATGCATACATTAATTACAAGGTACTTCCATTTAAATATCTTAAGACACGCAAAAGAAATATCAAGAGAAACACAGTGAAAGCATATACAGGCACTATCATCAGAAATGACAAAATATTGAGCGGGAATGGTTCAGCTTCAAGACACTGAAGTGGTTGTGGGATCCCCAAAGCACGTGGAAAAAAATGTTATCATTTATGAACAGCTAGCATGTTATTTGGTCAACAATAAATGCTGAACAGCTACCATTTGAAAGCCACCCGAGTCAGTGAGCAAAGCCCTTGGCCAATTCATGAAATTATGGAGGCCCCCCAACTCGTCAATAAGCTCTGAAGTTGGACGAAGGGCCAAATGGTAAGTGTTTCCGAGAATTATTTGGCAACCAATTTCCTCAAGCTGACTAGTCGTTAGACCTTTTATTGTGCCTGTAATATAAATCCCAAAATTATCGCTTAAATAACAAAATGGTAAGACTGAAACTGCAAGTTTAGGAATGTAACTACTGGGATTGGCAATTTGTCCTTTTAACTTTTTGACATACTAATTTCGTTCCTCGGGAATTCTACCATTTGTCAAATAGGAACTCTTCTATGACTTTCATAAGCAATTTAAGATATTTAGCAATTTGTTGTATTTTGAGAAAAAAAATAATTATACTGAAACAACAATGCCGAAGGAAATTGGAGTAATATGAAATTTATGAGACCAAAGTTGCATAAGATTCAAAACTTGGGTTGAAAGTAGAAAATTCCAAAACTTACTGTACAAAAAATCGATAACCCTTTAAGTTTGGGACCAATTTTGCAGTCAAGGCAAAAGAAGAGGCTATATGTTACATCAACTGGTTCACAACAGCAGGATAGATAAAGTAGTAAAGTTGTATCATTAGACATGAACTAAACGAAGACAAAGAACAGACCACCCTGCTTAATTGATAGTACAGTGTATCCAACATTAATGTAAGTTCTTGCACTTACATGATACCCATAACTTCGTAATAGTAATCCTAATCAAAGGTGATAATAATGAGTTGAACCATAATAACCAATCAATCTTATTTGTTTAACACTTGATAGGAGCATTAATAAATATAAAAACTTACATCAGCTAAGAAACACCAAACAAGGATTTTTACCTTGGGTACCCACAGGCATAAATAGTGGCGTTTGGCAACCAAAGTGAGGGAGTGTGAGCTGAGCTGCTCGAGCACGATTGAACCTCCCAAGAATCTAGTACCAAAAACAAAGTGTAAGCACCAGTATTCCAGAAAGCGAGTAGTATGCTGGCAATGTTGCTTTAAATTTTGATTTATTGTCCTGAACAGTATAATAAATTTGAACCAGTGCAGGCTCCTCCCTCATTTAACTAGGACTTCAGCTTATTACTTCATTGTCCATTGCAAATGGAGCTGGAAGAGTCATTGTTGACAATTCTCATAGTGCTAATAATGGACTAGATCAAAATGGCTCAATTAAATTCTAGTGCTTCTTCTATTAGTGAAGTTTCTAGAAAAAAAATATATCAAACGACGCAATGCACCTTGGGTCGCTACGGAAACAACCTCCTTGTATAATTACAAGGGTAAGGTCTGCGTACAACTGACACTCAGACCTCAACCAGTAGGGAATATACTGGGTATGTAGTTGTTGTTGTTATTTCAGCTTATTACTTCAAGATTGAAAAGGAGAATTCATAAGATTACAAAGAGAGCAACTTAATAAAGCACTGAAACAGCATAATTTATGTAGCATGGGCCAAGAAAATATTCTTTACACGATTCTTTTTCACAAAAGAATATTAATTCAATAATGCTCATAACCTTGCATAATTGGAAATCAGGAAAGCAAGTTGAGCTTCACATTCTCATAGCCTTCAATTTTTTGGACACTAGTCATGTCATAATAACCAAGCACAGAAACCCTTACCTTAAACTGAAGAGCCATCTTGTATTCTATCTATGCTTGGAACTGCGGAAAGAAGGAAAAATGAATTCTGTAAATGCTTCTTCGAAAGATGCTTAACTTGAGTGAGATCTATGAGAATAATCATATTAGAGAACCCCAATGTTCGAACATTTATTCCTCAAAAGTTATAGCATTAAGAACAACAGGCCACGAAATGTTTTCAGCTCACAGGCTTTGACAAAAGACAAGAGGTGGAAATACAGATCTAAGCACCAAAGATACCGAATCAAACGTAACAGTTAGCAAAATATAAATCTTTCACAAGAATCTCTCGTGAAAAGATTTAGACTTGCCTCCATACTCAAAGATGGAAAAGAAAAGGGTCACATCAAATCGGAAGCACACATGACACATGGACTATGGAAATAGTGAAGATGAATTTAAAAAGAAACAAGGGGATCATCATTTTCTTCTTCTTTATTACCCTTGTTTTTCCTTTCTGACTGGGTAACCCATAGATTAAAAATGGTTCAGTCAAAAGCAACAAAGTTAAGCTTAAGCCATGGATCATCCAAGGTCTTTTTCAATTAAACTCTTGTAAACACAATGACAGTGTCATACTTGTTCAGGTACCCTATTTCACCACAAAATTTTACCAGATAAAATAATATCCATAACTTAGTCTTGGCAGTGTAGCCTTGATTCCCTCCAGAAAAACTACATTTACTAATTGAATCACACCCCCGCTTTATGCACTAATTTAAATGTGAAGGACAAAAATATTACAATCCATTTGTGGGGAAAACGATGGAAACCTGAAAGCAAGAGTCATCCTACCACCGAAAGGGTGACCATATTACAAGAAAAGCTTGTGCTTCTTGGGAAGAGCACCTTATGGGGGTAAAGGTGATTCCACACTTTAAGCTTATTGGAATAGTGTTTATAAGCTAATTATTATATATAAGCTGATATAAGAAGTGATACAGAAATCTTTGTGGATGAGAAGTTTATTTTGACATTATTATTGTAAAATTTTTATAATGATATGACAAATCCTCTCTTTTCCTAAACTGATGTATAATTCATATATTGGAGCTTTTCTATTTCTGTACTACAGAAGCTAATTTTAAAGTGATGCTTTCTATCCAACTTTAATATATTAATCGACTTTAAACTCTAATTTAAATTTACATCCTAAAAAGATGACACACATTTAGTGGACAATAGGTTTAATTGTTGTTGTAAATTCTATGTTCACTGCTACCAATGTCGACCATTCTAGCGTTTACAGTAAAAAATCTCCTCTTAGAAGTCTTTGCAAACATTCCCGGTACTAAACACCAAAATATTTTCCCTCCCGTGAGCGATTGGTTCAACATTCCCAAATATGAATCTTCTTGAGGCAAATGAATTTTCAAAAAGTCTCGACTAAAGTTGTTCCATCTAGTTTTGATGATATAACTCCATAATATCAAGGCTAAAAGGGGAAAAATCAGTTCATTTGAAATGAGGCAGCTAGTAAGTAGTAGTTGAATGAGAAAAAATTGTTGAAACCAAAAGAAAAATCAGGGAAAATAATACAGGGCAAGGCCAATGAGCTAAGCACACAGGAATACCAACAAACCAAGAGAAATATTAGAAAGAAAAATTCGAAACTAACATGGGAATACCCTACTCAAAATCCGAGCCGAATCGAAACCCTATTCACAAATGGGAGCTATAATAACCATACTCCGTTTTCTTTCTCGTGCTTGTTTGCGCATATACATAAGCAGAGCTCGTGAGTAGTTTCAGATGAAATCGAACATCTATCTGCGAAAATCCTAAACTAGTCTACACCAAATCCCCGTCCTATCTGACTTAGAACCAGTTTCACAAACTAATCACCTTCACAATCAATACTAATCCTCACACCTCCACAACGCAATTTGTTGGCCATAAGTAGGCAATCCAAAATTGTAAAAGAAAGAGTTATGCATGCATGAGAAATTACAACCATAACACATTAAGCTAGGCTGTCGCAGATGCTTGTACCTTGATTACGGCGGCGGAAAGAGTGAGTCCAGGAGGCGGCGCCGGCGGTCGCGGATTGGTTATCTTGGTGGAGGAGAGGTCTTCGGCTCAAAAACGCGAGTGGACAGTAGGTTTTACGGTCAATTGGTCAACGACTCAATATGAATTCTGTTACTGGCGTTTTGAATTTTAGTGTAGAACTAGGTTAACACAAGTGGAAACATTCAATTATATTTTTTTTTTTTTTGTGAATGTTTTCGATTGTGTTGTCAACTTAGTTGTATACTTAGAAAATGTTTTAAGTATGGAACGCAACCTTAGAGCATCTCCAATGGTTGAGATGGATTGACAAGTGAATAGACGGACTTCCTTTTCACGTGGAAGGAATAGAAGGTCATGTTGATAAACAATTCTCCAGTAATAGATGTCTCTACACACTGCAAATGATACACGTGGTTTTTTATTTTTTGTTCTAAGAAAGCCAAAAAAACTTGCACGAAATTGTCCAACAAACTTTGAATAAAAAATCACAATATTTTTTGCTTGCAACAAACTTTGAACCAGCAAAAAAACCTAGGCTCTATAAATTATTTTGTAATACACGATAAATGTTGCTTTTCTTTTTCTTTTAATGTTGCAACAAACTTTAACAAATTTGAATTGCAACAAACTTTAACAAAAAAAGAAAAAAAAAAACCTAGGCTCTATAAATTATTCTTCTAATCAATCATAACAACGTCCAGTATTTATTTTTTGAGGTACCTTTATATTTGGTATATTTATTTTTTTGGAGAGCTACTACCCACAACCAATATTCATATGGTATTTTATTCTTCTACCCTGATTTCCAGATGTAGAAAGGCTTCCACAATTTTAGACTCTCTTTCATGCCACATCATGAGAAGGAGAAATTAAAAAAACTACCGTTGGAGAAGGTTTTTTTGTCCCAAAACTTCTACAATTTTGCAATTAACATACCACTCTTAAAACAATATGTATAGAGTATTTTTATGTGAGTTAAATCCAAAGAAGCAAGAAAGTATCCTTATTGAAAATGCCCCATCATTATGCATGAGAAAAAATAAATAAATAAATAAATAAATAAATAAGAAAGCTAAATGATGTAATAGAATAATTTAGAGAGGAGTACAGTGTATGAATATTGAAAATTAATATTAAGAAAAAATATATTATATAATATTACTTAGGGGGCAGAGATTTTTTCAAATATTTAACAATTGTAAATAATGTACATTGGTTTTTTTTGTTACCAAAAAAAAAAACTACAAAAAGAGGGAACTAATGGATTCGGATCAAAATATTTTTGAGTGCTTTAATTAAAAAAGCATTCACTTTTAGTTGTTAAATAAAATGAAGAAGACTATTTTTACTTTTGTTGGTGTATTGTTTTATAAAATAAAAATGTTCATGAGTACATGTTTTCATGCGATGCTTGAAGGTTACGTAGAGATGCAAACACGTTGAAAGAAGTTATACTGCCAAAGCTTTCAATATTACGAACTTGTATTTGGAGAGTAATGGAAAAAGTATTAGTGAATAGGTCTTCCAAATGTACTTTTATTTTTGAATAAGATGTATATGGTAGTATTCATTGTGAAGTTTAAAATGCATAATAGAAGTATTTCCTGAAGATTACGAAGCAAAGATAATGTCAATTTCTTTGCAACAAAAAGAATTGTAACAATGTTGGATTTCATAAAAAGTGGTATGGACACCACATATTCTTTATTAATGGACATGTAGAAATCAATATACATTCTTGTATCGTGCATTCCTATTAGATCTAAAAAGATGATAGTGGTTACAACTACATCACCCGGTGTTGTCGATTGCTGATGCAAGCGATTATGCCGCATGGAAGAACAATACATTCGGGTTTTAAAATACAAAGTGATGCAAATAAAGAGTATACGTTGTATGTCAAAACAAAATGGAGCTATCAAGTTACTACTCAAGACACAATAATAATATGGAATGAAGCACCAGTGGCAATAATAGGAAATAAAAGTTGTTGATTGTTTTATTTAAAGATATAATGGGAAATGATGAAGATGTTGGAAAAAGTTGTTGTCTTCTATGGAGATTGAAAACAAATTTTACTAGGTATTCCAAAAGTCACAATCCAATAACCTATTTATACAATTTTGGTTAAGTCAAGATTGCGGTCGAAAATGAAGAAAAACTTTTTGTTGAAAAATGTGAGGTCAATAAATAACCTAGCCTTCACTGAGTTATTACATAGAGTTGAAAATGGCGATCAACCATTTAAAGATAAGTTTTTTTGAAAATAAAAAGTTCCGAAAGATATGGCAATTGATTAGTACGATGAGGATGGTTTCGACATAGCTGCTTACAAATATTATGTTTTTTAAGTTTTGAGCACAAACGAAAAGAGTGGTCAATACATG